GCCAAAGGAGGCTGCATGCGGCGAGCGCGGCTCGAGCAACCTCCTTCTTGCCGCCCTCATGCGTGCGCGCGTGCAACGGGCTTGGAGAGCGCGCCGCGAGCCCACCCACGGCGGCGGAGGAGGAGAGGCGGCGGCGACGCGAGGAGCCGCTGCCCCCGTGCGCCACCGCAGACCCTGCGCTCCGGCGGCCACCGCGCGCCTACGACGAGGAGGAGGAGCCCGCCGCCCATTGCGCGTCCCCGCTCGCCCGGTCGGCCTCCGCCTCCGTCGCCGGCCGCCGTCGTCCTCGAGCCCCCTCCGCCACCCGCCATTGGCTCCGTCCCCGCGCGCCGCCGTCCTCACCTCACCGCCGCCACGCTCCTCTGCCGCCTCCGCCTCCGCGCCGACGTCCACGCCGTCTGCGCCGCCGTCCACACCGTCCTCGTCGACCGTCCGTCCCCGCGCCATCCTCGCCGACCGCCCGCGCCCACCGCCCGTCCTCGCCGTGCGCGCTGCGCGCCGGCCTTCTCCACCCCTGCCAGTCGCGGGCCTCGGCTCCTCGACCACCGCCCGCCGCCTCCTCCGCCCCCGCCCGTCGCCAGCCTCGCGCCCACCCGCCGCCCGTCGCCGACCTCAGCTTCTCGCCCGCTGTCGCCGACCCACCCGTGAATGAGAGAGAGGAAAAGTGAGGCATAGATTGAGAGAGAGAAGAGAGAGAGGAAGAGTATGACATGTGGGTCCCGCAATTTTTTTTTATAAATACAATGCTGACTAGACTGCCACGCGTACGCCACGTAGACCAAAACCACCATGGATTGAACCAGGGGGGTAATTCGTCCGGTTTGCATAGTTAGGGGTGAAGAATATCCGGTTTTGTGGTTCAGGGGGGTAATTCGGACGACCGCGATAGTTCGAGGGTGTAATTCGTACTTTTTCCAAAAAAAAAGGCTACATTTAGTTTATTTCCAAATTTTAGTAAGCACATATGATTGCCAAATTTTTTGACAACCTTACCAAAATTTGGTAATGCCAAAACTTGGTAAGGTTGAAAATGGTAGCAAAATGAACAAGCACTAAGATGTGTTAGATCCGATACTAGATTAATTTTTTTAGGGATGGATGGAGTATACTAGTAGGAGTATTCCTTCTATAAAAAAAAACTCAATCTTAGGAAGGGATGTAACCTCTCCTATTACCACGAATCTGAAGGTACTAAAATGATCCTTATAGGTTGAGGTTTTTTTTAATGAAAGAAGTAATGCCGAAGGTTGAAAGTTTGAACTCCTGCTATTCGAAGTTCACTTTGCAGATTGAGGTGGTGTTTGGATTTAGGGACTAAATTTTAGTACCTATCACATTGAATGTTTGCACATTAATTAGAAGTATTAAACATAGACTAATAATAAAACTAATTGCATAAATGAGAGTTAATTCGCGAGATAAATTTTTTAAGCCTAATTAATCCATAACTAACATATGTTTACTGTAGCATCATATAGGCTAATCATGGACTAATTAGACTCAATAGATTTGTCTCGCGAATTAGTCCGGGATTATAGAATGGGTTTTATCATTAGTTTAGGTTTAATACTTCTAATCTATCTATCTATCTATTATATACTAAAAGTTCATTAAACTTCCTACAAACGCTCTCAAGCCGCCACGTGGCGCTCCTACAAATGCTCCTAGGCCGCCATGTGGCACAATATAATCTCACCGTCGATTTTCGCTTAAATTGGTGGACTCATTATTTTATACCGTTAGATTAGATCTTTACCCGCCGTTGATTTTCACTTAAATTGGTGGACCCATTATTTTATACCAATGAATTGGATCTACCTTCTCCCGTACGTATGTATGGTTTGCCGGAAGGATTAGTAACTATGGTTATGGTTGTTAGAAGTTGAGATTAATTAGCTGTCATATTGTGTTGCTACTAATCATATCTATATTTATTATATGCACGGCAATATATATATGGAAGCTAGGAGATTAACAAGAAGATTATACATAGCTAATTAAATTAGTTATTATACATGATTTGTGGAAGGAAATTAACGGTAATATAACATATACAGCTAATTAAATCAGTTTATATGGCTTTATCGTGATATTACGTAGCTAATTCGAACCAAGCAATCTCCACTTAAATCGTCCAGCTTAAATCGGTGTATCTAAGATTACCTTTTTAACTCATTATGATGACTTTAAAATTAAAAAAGATTTTCTAAAAAACAAAATACATGATAATTGGTTTTTGACCTGAATGATTTAGAAAAAAATAGAAAAACAAAGTCCCCTCCACCTCACCCTCACCATTAGATACGCACAACACTTTGTGCCCCCTCCACTTCTCTCTATAATTTTTAGTAGCTATGATAAAGAGAAACAACCACAGTTATTTTAAGCTACACATATTATATCTAATCTAACTGTTGCTCTATACATAATTAAACCAACAATTTAAGATTCAAAATAAATTAAAATCGATAATACATATTAACGTCAGAACAAAATCAATGGTCTTTAAAATATAACTTTTTACCATATAAAAATATATTACTCCACAAATATGTGCAAATATAAACTAGATCTATAATATAAATAAAAAATATCAAATCAATTATCTCTAAATGTTCATCTTTTAAATTATTTTAAATTATATAATCAATTTGTGATCCTGTCGTATTTCTTTAATTAAATAAAATATTTGTGTCTTATAAATTTTATATTGCGGTTCTAGATACATCACCACCTCTTGGGAAAAATATATAATAATTAATGTTATGATAATTTTAAATAATTTCATATCATATTTTAGGATGTCAAATATCACTTGATAAATGTACTACGTAATTGCGAAAAAAATAAAACAATTTAGTTGTGTTTTTTCAAGTAGATCTGATTTAATTTTAATTTGTTTGAATTAAGCCAAGTGACACTCTAAAATCTATCCATTGATTTTTTTTTAAATTGGTGGGTCTAATATTTTTAACTATTAGATCGAATAAAAAAAGTATGTGCTCCCACCTTCTCCACACCCTTTCCTGGTACGGACGTACTCTCCTCATCTCCTCTTTCCTTTCCTACTCTCTTAGGAAAAAAAATCTTCAAATTTTCTAAACTATTAGATTTATCTCAAAATTTACCAATTAAATTTGTAAACAATAAATAAATTGCCCGCGTAACTGCGCGGGCTACCTTTCTAGTTAGTACTAAATATTCGATGTAATAGGGGCTAAAATTTAGTCTCTAATCCAAACATGGCCTGAATGTCAGGAAACAGAACACTCCAGCTATTTTTTTACGGTCACAGGACTCAGCAATCAAATGTGCTAATTAATACCCCAAATCAAGAAAGCACCAGGTTACACGCCAAGCAACTCGAAGTGGTGAGCCCCCTCGCAATCGCAGGGACACACACCTCTCCCTCTGTCCTCTCGCTCTCTCCCTGGTGGCGCCACCAATCCTGGCCACCTTTCGCTACCGAACCCGGCCAATCATCGTATGATTGCCGGCCTCCTCCTGTTCCTGCCCCCACACGCCAATCAAAAAGAGCGCGGCACAGGCGCACAGCACGTAGGCGTACCGTATAGTGGCTGCCCCCTTCTCCGTGCTTAAAACCGGGTGCGGTCACCGTGATTTTCACTACACTCGCTCCAAAATATCACTGCCTAGTACATGATCGAACACATCCGTTAAGAATTATTGTATTAGGAAGTGCTAAATCACATATAGAATAGTAACATTTCAAAACAGATGTTCTTTTTTTTAAGTGTAGTATGAACGTATCATTAAGCGAGACAAGCTAGCCCAAAAGCAGCACGACGAGACGAGACGAGACGAAACAAAACGAGACAAGACCAAGACCCGCGCGCGCGCCGCGCCCGGCCACGTCTCCACTGAACTATCCACCCCCCCGCCGGGAAACAAACAAACGCCCCTGCGCGAACACGGGCGCGATACGCTACGGAGAAACCACCTTTTCCGCCCCCCGCGTGCTTGATCCCCCCCCCCCCCCCGTGATTTCCTGCGGTTTTGCGGCCGCCGCGCCGCGACGCGTCGCGTCGCGAAAGCCGGTGAAAGCAAACGCCGCGAGACAGTGGCACACAGGCGCATCGATCGGGGGGAGAAGGGGTTTAGCACGCGGCGGCCGCGCGAGGGCATGTCGGTCGCGGCGCGAGCGCGGAGCGGAAAACGGTAAAAGAAAACTGCCACTCCACCACGCGCCGTCCACCCGTCGGGTCGGGGAAAAAAGTTTAAAACGCCGAGAAGAAGGCTGTGTCTAGTTCAACGCAAAGTTTAGATTTTGGTTGAAATTAGAGATGATGTGAGTAAAAAGTTATGTGTATATGACAGGTTGATGTGATGGAAAAGGACTGAAGTTTACTCCCTCCGTCCCAAAAAAGACAAACCCTGGTTTCCGTGTCCAACGTTTAACCGTCCGTCTTATTTGAAAAAATTATGAAAAAAATTAAAAAGATAAGCCACGCATAAAGTATTAATCATGTTTTATCATCTAACAACAATGAAAATACTAATTATAAAAAAATTTAAAAACCCACAGTTTATCTTTTTTTTAGAACTGAGGGAGTAAATCCAAACTTTAAATCTAAATACAGCCGAAGGACGATAGCGTAGGCGGGAGGCAGAGGTCAAACGCACAAACGGCGCCTCGTGGACGGTCGGTCGTCTCGCCTGCGGGTCAGGGTCTCGGGGACATGCAATGCAACCGGGAGTTGTGTGCAGGGAACAACACAGTGACCGGGAGCTTAAACAAAAGGGCCACCTAACTCGCCCCCCTTTGGAGCACATGCCCCCCTGCCCCACATGTATCAATCCATCCATCCATCCATGTGTACTTCCAATCCCAATCCCAACGAGATCAGCACCGTCAGCTACACCGATCGGACGGCCGACACCACTGCGCATGCATGCACAGGCGCGAGCATTCCCAGCGCTGCTCTCCCTGTACCCGATATGGACAAAACGTATGGCGCGTACAGGCGCTCCCCTAGTCCGGCCTACAGCTTCCAGCCGAACCCATAAACAAAGCACGCAACTTGGGAGCGAGCGAGGGGCCGCACAGCTAGCCATCGATCGAGTAGCCAGGCCACCACATCGCCGTCCTCGCTAGCTGGCTGTGTCAACTGCAGCGACGACGAAACGAACGATCGATCTCGCCGGCTGGCTGGCTAGCTGCTCCTCCTATAAATCCCCGGCTCCCAGCCGTCCCCCTCCGATACCGTCATCTCACCACACAAACGCAGGCACACAAACACAGAGAGCAGCCCAAACCGACCAAAATCACTGCAGAGTTCAGGCACTTCTTCAGATAGTTCTCCCCCTCTGTTTCTTTCTCTCTTTATTTCTTTCTCGAGTTCAGTTTGAGAGATGGATTTGGCGTGGTGGTTCGCGGTGGCCGTGGTGGTGTGCGGCCTTGTGGGGGGCGGCAGCGCCGGGCTGCTGGAGACCAACCCGGGTTTGGCGTACAACTTCTACCAGAAGTCGTGCCCCAACGTGGACTCCATCGTCCGCAGCGTCACCTGGGCGCAGGTCGCCGCCAACCCGGCGCTCCCCGGCCGCCTCCTCCGCCTCCACTTCCATGACTGCTTCGTCCAGGTCAGTGCCAGCAAAAATACTCCCGTTTCTTCGCTGCTTCAGCTCTCTCCAAGCCCCCATTTCGCCGTGTCGGCGCCGTGCCGCGCGCCGGCCTAGCTAGCCAGCCATGGCCGGTTTTCTTTCTCCCTGTCTACATCCTGAGAGGAATTAACTGCGAGAGCCACCATTTCGAGCTACCTAGCTCTAGCTACAGTCTAGAGGCCTTCACTGGTCCTGCATTCTTTGCATGGCGTCGATTGGGGACGAAACGAGGCTCAAGTGAACCGGGGTTTTTACCGCGGTGGTTCGTGGCTTTTACTCTGATTTTCACAGTGGCGGGAGGACCAGCCGAGAAGATATTATCTTGCTTTTCGCCTGTGCCTGTACACATATACGTAAGCATTACGGCACCTTTTCCCCGGTTCGCGGCAGCGCGAGGCGAGGGGCGAGGCGGTCGCGACGCGCCAAAGCAACGAGACAAACGGGAAAAATACTGCGTGCCTAGTACAGGGGGGGAGCACGCCGAATCTTGTCGTATTTTTCCCCCCATTTTTTTTCCCCGTGCGGCCCGTGCGTTGCGTTGCCGTGCAGCTCACATGCGGCGCTGAGCCGATGCATCGCGCGCGACAGCTAAGCTTATCAAAGCTGCCGCGCCCTGTACGGCGCCCATGCATGCCATGCATGGGCCATGGCCACACCACCGGCCTTGGCCCCCTTGCTCCCGCGATTTTTTTTCAAACCCTGCAAAGCGCAGCTGTTTGTGGCCGCGTGTCAATGGCGCCTGGCTGACCGGTCGGTTTTCTTCTTTTTGTGTGTGTGGTTTTGCGTGCAGGGGTGCGACGCGTCGATCTTGCTGGACAACGCCGGGAGCGAGAAGACGGCGGGGCCGAACCTATCGGTGGGGGGATACGAGGTGATCGACGCCATCAAGACGCAGCTGGAGCAGGCGTGCCCCGGGGTGGTGTCGTGCGCGGACATCGTGGCGCTCGCCGCGCGCGACGCCGTGTCGTACCAGTTCAAGGCGTCGCTGTGGCAGGTGGAGACCGGGAGGCGCGACGGGCCCGTGTCTCTGGCGTCCAACACCGGCGCGCTGCCGTCGCCGTTCGCCGGGTTCAGCACGCTCCTCCAGAGCTTCGCCAACCGCGGGCTCAACCTGACCGACCTCGTCGCGCTCTCCGGCGCGCACACCATCGGCAAGGCCAGCTGCTCCAGCGTCACGCCGCGGCTGTACCAGGGGAACACCACCTCCCTCGACCCGCTGCTCGACTCCGCCTACGCCAAGGCGCTCATGTCGTCGTGCCCCAACCCGTCGCCGTCGTCGTCCACCATCGACCTCGACGTCGCCACGCCGCTCAAGTTCGACAGCGGTTACTACGCCAACCTGCAGAAGAAGCAGGGCGCGCTGGCGTCCGACGCCGCGCTCACCCAGAACGCCGCCGCGGCGCAGATGGTGGCAGACCTCACCAACCCGATCAAGTTCTACGCCGCGTTCTCCATGTCCATGAAGAAGATGGGACGCATCGACGTGCTCACCGGCAGCAAAGGGAATATCAGGAAGCAGTGCCGCTCCGCCTCCTGAATCCTGACGATCACCATACAAACATATTTTCTTCTTGGTTTCTTGAATTTTTTTTTCTTCTTCTCCTCTCTCGTTTCATCGGCGCTGATCAAAATATATTGTGCGCCATGATGATTAATTAAGGTCCCAAGATCTGTATTAATTTGTTAAGTGCTCGATTCGATCGTTCAAGGTGTGACATTTTGTTCATCTTGGCCTTCGTCGCGCGATCTAATCGAAGAATGAAAGAATGCAGCTCGTTCTTTCCACTGCTGCTTCAAACAAACATGCAGATACTACGCACGTAGGAGTACAAATCTACTGCTACTCCCACTGTTCTTTGTTTAATCCAGCTAAGATGATGGTGACACGAGCATAACAAGAACATCTTTCTCTGCGATCCAGGATTAGTTTATCTGATTCTCTGCGCCCACTAGTGATCTTGAAGATGTGTGCGTTGGTGCACCACTAGCCCCAGCGCTAATCCCATCGCTAATTGTTGTCCTACTCTGATCCCACCACGTTCTGCCTCTGAAAATCTGAACACCATTGGCACGATCAGCAAGGTGCTCCGTTCTCTGTCCCGTCACTCCCGCCATGCGTTTGCATATTTTGAATCATTTGAATGACACTTGATTAGGGCAGGCAACCAAAGAACGTCTGATTTGACGACACTCAACGTGCTATCTTGCGCTATGCAGAAATGGGACAACAGAGAGGCTTTGAAGCTGCATCGTTCTTGACTTCTTGTGCTCGTGATGAACAGTGAAAGACACAGCTTTTCTGACTGGTCTGATGAGCACTCATTGACAGTTTTTTCTGTATGTGGGCGTCTGTTTCAAAAGTACTAGAGAGATTCTTTCTCTGCCAAACTTTTCCTATAAACTTTTAACTTTTTCATCACATCAAAACTTTTCTAAGCATATAAACTTTTAATTTTTCTGTCACATTATTTCAATCTTAGCCAAACTTCCAATTTTAGCGTAAACTAAACACACCCTTAGTTCCAAAATAATTCTTCAAACTTTCAAATTTTTTATCACATCAAAACTTTTCTACACACATAAACTTTCAATTTTTCCGTTACATCGTTCTAATTTGAACCAAACTTCTAATTTTGGTGTGAACTAAACACAGCTAAAAAAATACCGTTTCTCGCAAAATCTTTCTGTAAATAAACTCATGTAAAATTTGAACGAGCTCAGATCTCGAGGAACGCTGAATTGCTGAAACAAAAAAAAAGGGAAAGAAAACAAAAAAGGGCAAGTGAGAGAAAAGATAAAGGACGCCGTTGGCGGCGGGGTATGCAGCAGGTCCACGACGACGGAGTGAGTGAAGAACTACTGAAAGCAACAGTAGCCGCCTACGATTATTCTCCTACCCCGTCTCGAAACAAAACAAAAGAGAAAAAAGGGCTCGTCAGCTTCAGCTTTCCTCCCTGTCTCCTGGCAAGCTCAGGACACAGATTCCTCCCGTGTTTCTGCTCTCTCGGCCTACGAGCAATTGGTCGACAGCTCCAGATGATCATTTTGCTAGCTAGAGATGATCATTTTGCTACGAGTTCTTCCTCCTTTTAATTTCTTTTTCCATTTGATATTTTCCCTGTACGCCATGGGTGACGGGTGGGGCCCATTCTCCGCGTTCATGCATGTTGCTTGATGCCGTCGTGCACAGCCACAGCAGCCCGTGACTCGAGAACATGGACGAAAACCTGGTGAGGACGTGAGGTTCGTGTACGTGGTGGAGATTAGGTTATGGCAAGTGAGGCCAGTGTGCACACCCCATGTTCTCTTGTTGGATTTCCTGCTTATATCACTACACGTGAGATGATAAGGCAAATGGTTGCGCTTGTGCTGTTGTGCACTGTGTCTGTGTCCATCCTTTTCGATCGATCTCTTCTTCTTTTTTGGACATATATATTTCCTGTCCATCCTTGATCAGCTAGGTAGCTAAGAATTTTAAGTTTTTTTTTCTTTTTGTTATGTAGTACGTCCACATCACGCGTAACAGACTCGATCGTGTCCGTGATAGCGTGGCAGGGAGTTACGAGATTAATTAGGGCCCATGATAGCCTAAGCTGCAGCTGCCGCAACCCACAAGCCTTTGCTGTTAAGAGATTGATGACCAATCGAGGCCGTCGCTCTCGACAGGTTGGATGCCATCGATCGTTTCGCCAGTTCGATCGTGGCCGCCCCGCGCGCGAGAGAGCCGTGCGTGCGTGCATATGCGTGGACAGTGCGCGCGACCGTGAGCTGCCGCGCTCGCGTCCGCGCCGCGCGCACACGTCGCTCTCGGCGGAAACAGAGAGAGAGCGCGGGGCACATGGCCTCGCTCGCGTCGTTGCCGAGCAAGCCATGCATGAGCACGGGCGGGTCGCTGTTAGCGGATGCGCGTCGAACGAGTCGCGGATTTGCCAGTTGCCATGCACCAACCAACCCTGCTGCCTGTTGGCTCGTCGTCGATCGCTACGGCTGATACATACGAGATGAACATGCAGGTGGGGTACAGGGTACAGGCCACTATAGGGACGGGTGATTTTTTTTTTTTGGTTTCGTTTCATTCTGGTGATTTTCGAGTCGGTTGGGCCACCCCGATCGAGTTGCATAGGACGGGAATAAGTGGGCCAAGTGTAGTTTAGCCTAAAATAAAAGGAAAAAGTACACCCAAGGTCCCTCAACTTATAATCGAGATACAAAATCATCCTGAAACCGTAAAACCAGATATCTCGCGTCCCTTAACTAATCAAAACCGGTCACAAAAGGTCCCTCAGTGGTTTTGACCCTAGTTTTGTACTACGTGACTACTGAGTCAGCGTGGGACCCACGTGAGCCCCACATGTCAAGGTAATCCACGTCAGCCGCCTCTCTTTTTCACCTGTTCTCTCCCGTCGTCATCTCTCTCACTCTTCTCTTCTCTTCTCTTCTCAGGCAAGCCGGGCGGCGCTGCTGGGGACGAGGCCGCCGGGGCGAGGCGGGAGAGGAGGCGGCGGCGGCAGCTTCGACGCGGGAGAAGGCGAGGGCGCACGTCTGCTCCGATGGCGGCGAGTGTCGTGCGTGTCCGACAAGTCCGGCGGCGGCGGAGAGAGCTTGCTCCAAGCGTCGCGGATCTTCTTCCTCGCCATTCTCTCGCCGGTGAGGCACTCATACCGCCGCATCCGCGTGTGGTAGATCAGCGCCAGCATGTACTGGTCGGTGTCGTACACGTCCCGCTCCGGCAGAGCGCCGCCGCTGGGGAGCGCCGGGCCAAACCCGTCGTTCACGACGAGCTTGCACACGTCCATCGACCTCGAGTACAGCCGGTACCAACCGCGGAGAGAGCTCGTACTTGTACACTCGCCGGCCGGTGCACCGGTCTGTTGACACTGTAATTTGGCCAGTTGGGTTATTTGGTTTGCCAAATTACTGACTGGTTAGTGATTTGCTTAATTAATTGCTTTATTGGGAATTTGTGTGCTGAGTTAACGGATACTACACGTGGGCTTTGCATGCATGGCGGTGTGTCGTTGCCTCGTTGGGCAGCGAAGGCATTGCTTTGCTTCATAGATGGCACAGCCTGTTGTCACGAAGAACCAAATCAATGTGGTGCTACTGGTTTGCGAAGAGACGATGGAGATGGAGGCCCATGCACGGCGCGGCGCAGTGGTTGGATGGGTTTTGCGTGAAGGCATACGTGCGTGTTTTTGGTAGAGCTAGAGATAAACTTTTGTTTGACGCCGACGTGCTCCGGTGGCAGGACCGCACATGCGGCGGCGCGACCGCCGGTGGCTCTGGGCGTTCGCCGGCGCGCCGCGCACCGGGAGCACCAAGACCGTGCGCGCCCAGATCATCGAGCAGTGCACCGCGTCGCCGTCCTGCACCCTTCGGAAGCTCGCCCTCGGGGCACTACAACTCGCCGAGGCGGATCATGGAGCTCCTCGAGTCCGCGTGTTCTGCATCCAGCCACGCGGCGAGCGACTCCTACACCCGCAAGTCGACGTTCGACTCCATGCTTGCCGGCTGTATCTCGGTGTTCCTCCACCCAGCGTCGGCGTGGCAGCGCCTTGCCCCGGCGGCCTCCTCCCCAGCAGCGCTGCTTGCCTGAGAAGAGAAGGGAAGGGTGAGAGAGAGATGAGGAAGGGAGAGAATAGGGGAAAGAGAGAGGAGGCTGATGTGGGCCAAGCTGACATATGCAACTCATGTGGGTCCCACGCTGACTCAGCAGCCACGTAGGATAAAACCGAGGTCAAAACCACCGAGGGAACTTTTGTGACCGATTTTGATTAGTTAAGGCATGTGGGATATCTGGTTTTGTGGTCTGAGGATGATTTTGTATCTCGATGACAAGTTGAGAGAACTTGGGTGTACTTTTTCCAAAATAAAACAATGGCCGCGGTCCTACGAATCTTGGATTTGCTTTGCATCAAACGAGTTCCATTTTCCAAGCATCTTGAATGCGATTAGGTGCCGACACGCTGCGGTTCTAGGGCTCATGTCATGTCAGGGAGTTAAGGTGCAGATCGACCGGGAATTAATCCGCTTTTTATGCATCCGCGTCTCCGGGCCGGGGCCTGCTGTAATGTGTGCGCCATCGTGTGCTTGGGCCGGGCTAGGTCATCAGCGTTAGGAATAAGTTCACCGGCCGTGTCTCAACTTTACGTCGAGTCTATTTGAAGTCCCCTAACCGCAATACCAGATAAGTGTACGGTGTACCCCTAAACTATGTAAAACCATCCCAAAAAAGGTTCCGAGTCAATATAGAGGCCTGGTTTCACTGACGTGGCTTCTTAGTCGCAAAAATAATTAAGATTAATATATGGGGCCCACATGTAAGTGAGAGAAAATGGTGTGGGCCCCACATTTCTCCTTTCTTTTCTTTTCCTCTTCTCTTCTCTCCTAATTCTCTCGAGTGGGCGCGGCGGTAGAGGGGGAGAGAGGCGACCGGTGGCGGAGCGGGGACGGTGGTGATAGGAGAGGGAGAGAGGTGGCCGGCGGCGGAGCAAGGGTGGCGAGAAAGGGGAAGAGAGGTCGGCGCAACGGCGAGCTCGGCCAGCTCGCGGCTGCGGCGGGAGAGGAGACAGTTGGTGCGACGTTGAGCTCGGCGTGGTGCGGTGACGAGGGAGAGGAGAGGAGAGGAGAGGCGCATGGCACGGCGCGGCGGCGTGGGAGAGGAGCGGCGTGGCGCCCACCTCTTCCCTCTTCGAGCGCACGCTCACCAACCTCCTCGCCGGCATCCCCGCCCTGCTTGCCGGCCTCCTCGCCCTGCTTGCCGGCCTCCCCATCTCCTTCCCCTCCACTCCTCGCGCCTCTTCCCCTAAGCGGCGGTCGTCGACGTTGGAGCCCCCTCTTTGCCGGTCGCCGGTAGCAGCCACTGCTGACCACAACGACTGCCTTGCGCGGACAAGAAAGAGGGAGGGGACATACACCACCGGCCGCATCTGGCGCTCATCTGAGCCCGCTGCCGCCCCCATCGACACGCTGCGCTCCACTCCTCTCCCTCGCCGGTGCGCCGTGCGCTGCTTCTCTCCTCGTCTCCCTCGCGCGCAGGTTGGACGAGCTCGAACGGGCTTGCCGGCCGCGTCCCCCTCCCCTTCCAAACCGCTTTGCCCCACTACCCGCCAACCGTTACCGCGCTCGCTTGCCGCCCACCGTCTGCATCCGCGCATCGCCACTCCGCCCGCCGCTGGCCTCTCTCACTGAAGAAGAGAAGAGAGAAGAGAGAAAAGAGAAGAGAAGGAGAAGAAAAGGGAAGAAAAAAAGATGTGCAGCTGACATGTGGCCCCCCGCATCCTTTTTTAAATATTTTGCTGACTAGGATGCCACATCAGTGAAACCACCCATACTACCATAGGATCTTGAGTGTACGTTTTGAGTGAGTTTAGGGGTATACATTTCTGATTTTGTGGTTAAGGGTTAAGGGACGTTAAAAAATCTCGCTGTTAAGTTGAGGGACCTTGTTATCACCTTGTTAGGCATAACATAATCTTACTAGGAAAAAGTCCATATTGAGTTATAAAAAAAAGTCCATATTGCATCTCTCAACACTACACTATAATTCGCATCTCTTAACCGAAGAATAGATATGGAGGCTCACTCAATCACAACCCACTCGTTATTTAATTGCAATTATTAATTTTAGAAAACTAAAACGTCTTTGTCTATCTACGATGGCATGTTTTATTGGACATAAATTCGTACTCCCTCCCTCAAAAGCGTTTAAGCATACATTCAATCTCATTATTCATCACTTTATCTACTCTCAGTCTGCCAATACAATTATTCTCAACTTCCACAAACCCCAATACAATAGCTACACTAAAATGAGTTTATTTTGGGACAAATGAAATAAGTTGAAAATGAACTTAATATGATACGGAAGAAGTAATTTATAACCGTGACCTGCTGCCATATGCTAACCGTTTACTAGCTCCTTGAGGCCATTTCTCCCACATTCCAGTCCAGGTTCCTTCCTATATGCATGCATGCATGCGATACTGTCTTATCATGGACCGCTCCACCCCTCTGAATCTCCGATACGCGAAGGCGTTATGTCAACCATGCATGGACTGGCTGGAGAGCTAGGAATGCGTACACACGCGCCAAGCCAAGCCCAAAATTAGGGCGACGAACGGGACAGCCAAGATCTATATATGCCTCAATGCCGTCGTCCCCACTGGGCGGGTGCAAAAAAATAGGCAGCCGTAGCGATCGACCTTCTCCGACGAGTTCTCTCTTTCTTCTCCTTCCCCCGGCAACGAGCCTGACGCCGCTCGCGCCCGCGGAGGGGAGGGGAGGGGAAGATCTAGAACCGCGGGGAAGACGACGGCTGATGGCTAGCTATAGCTGATTGATTTAGCGGCTCAACATATATACCAAGGCGGCGCGGCCGGCCGGCACGCCGGCAGGGTGGTCGCCGGCGAACCTCGCGTAGAGCTCACCCTCCCCTCCTCCGGTGGTCTGCCTCCCCCTGCATTGGCGGATCGAGGACGCACGCACGTACGACTCGTTCGTTCGTTCACTGCCATGCCGGCCCGTGCCCTCGCCGTCGAATCGTCGTCGTCGTCGTCGTCCCTGCGCGTCTGTGACGTCTGCTGCTGACTCGTGGATGTAGCTTGATTGCTCGCCGTACGTCGTCGACATGTTGCTGTAACGAGCCGAAAACACCAGCGAAGGTATGGATGTGTTGCATGTGCGAGTCGATCATCGCCATTGGTGTGTTGCAGTTTGCACAGTATGATTTGAGTAATTTTGGTTGCATGCATGCATGGCAGTCCGTTGCGTAGCCGGCCGGCCTCACCTCCGGTCGCCGACGCCGGAGGTAGCGTGAATTCGTTTTCATCGGTCAGGATGGCAATCGCGGTCGGCCATTGCCGCGAGCTGAGTCCCCCCGGTGGCGGCGTCCGCGGCCGGCACTGCCGCCTCCGCTCCGTCACCCAGCTAGACTGCCCGGTGTTCGACGACCATGACCTGGACCTGGACCGCCGAGAGCGCAACGGGCACGCCGGCCTGTCGCCGCGGCGGAGCCTCTCCTCGCCGTGCTTCTCCACCGTCGTCCCTCCCGCCGCCGACCGCGCCGAGCCCGCGCGCGACGACGGCGAGAAGATGATGCCGCGCGTGGAGATCGTCGCGGGCGGCCACGCCCGCGGGGTGCACGAGCTCATCGCGGAGGCCGCGGGCGCCATCGCGACGGGGACGCGCCTCGTGCCGGCGCAGGGCGGGATCGGCGGCGCGCTGCTGCTCGAGGACGGCCGCTCCGTCGACCACGTGGCGGTGATCAAGCCGCTCCTCGACGACGCGTCCTCGCCGTCCCACGGCGGTGGAGGAGGCTACGCGAGCAAGGCCGTGCTGCGGGAGGTGGCCGCATTCCTCCTCGACCACGACGGCTTCGCCCGCGTCGAGCCGACCGCGCTGATCAAGATCTCGCGACCCGCCATGCCGACGACCACGGCCTCGATCCAGCGCTTCGCGGCGCACGAGTGCGACGCCGGCGAGCTCGGCCCGTCGCGGTTCTCCGTGGCGTCCGTGCACCGCATCGGCAGCCTCGACGTCCGCCTCCTCAACATCGACCGCCACGCCGGCAACATCCTCGTCAAGAAGTCGCCGGAGAGCGAGTGCGCCAGCGGCGGCAGCACGTTGACGCCGCTGGACCTCGTGCCGATCGACCACGGGCTCTGCCTCCCGGAGCAGCTCGACGACCCCTACTTCGAGTGGCTGCACTGGCCGCAGTCGTCGCTGCCATTCTCTGGCGCCGAGCTGGAGTACGTCGCGTCGCTCGACCCGTTCCGGGACGCCGCGATGCTCCGCGCCGAGCTGCCGTCGCTGACGGAGGCGGCCATCCGGATCCTCACCCTCTGCACCATCTTCCTGCAGCGCGCGGCCGCCGCGGGGCTCTGCCTCGCCGACATCGGCGACATGATGACACGCGAGTTCTCGGCGATGGAGGAGGGGCTCAGCGCGCTCGAGTCCCTCTGCAAGAACGCCTACGATTCCTCCACCACCACCGCCGGCTCATCCCCTCGGAAGCACCACCACTCCGACGACTCCGACGACGAGAGCACCCAGTTCGGCATGGACGACGTGCCCGCCGGGCTCCCTCCTCACCTCTTCCTCCTCGGCGGCGGCGGCATCGCCAAGAGCGTGAGCTTCTCCGCGGCGGAGCAGGGCGCCGCCGGGCGCGGCGCCGCGCGGAAGCGCATGTCGTTCAAGGCGCTGAGCGGCGACGAGTGGGCGGCGTTCCTTGACCGGTTCGAGCAGCTGCTGCCGGCGGCGCTCGACGCCAAGAAGCGCGCCGGCCTGAAGCTCACCAGGCTGGGCACCTCCTTCTGAATTCTAATCTCCGCCGCCGCCGCCGCCGCCGACGACGACGACGTCGCCGGAGCTAGAGAAGAAGAAGATCGAGGTCGAGAGCTTGTGTACACATACAATGCGTGTGAATTCCGAGAGCCCTTGTTGTATTTGTACGTGACGTGTGCCAGCATAGGTGTGTGAGACGATCGATCGATCGAGAGGCCATCGCGATCCCGCCATTGTTGCTTGCGCGAGAGGTTGAAGTTGAACCCTAACATTTGATGCTATAGGGGAGCCAGGGAGCAGCTCTGGAATGGTAACAAATGTTCCAACGAAGCTGACTAGCAGTGCCAACGATCCAATGCATCGAGCAAAACACAAACATTGCTCATTGTTGTGTTGTGATATTGACATGTGTTTGTCTATCGATCTCTGTCTCGGCTGTCTCGGCTGCAGTTTCCATGGATGGATACGTCATTGCGTATACGAATTCAGGGGGTGCTTCTACGCTTCACTCATTCAGAGTTCACTTTGCAAATTTTTTTTTTTGTTTTTACACTCATCCTAAATGAGTAAGCAGAGATCCTGTATTCCTGTCAAGCTTTTTAATAGGGAATTGCTAAAACACTGTCCCAAGTTTTTTTAGGGTAAAGAACTTTTAAATATAACTTATAGTATTATAGTTGTAGTTTAAAAAAGGGTAAATAGCTAATTTAGTCCCTCAAGTTTTACCAAAGGCTCAATTTGGTCCTTCACGTTTCATTTTTGTTGACGGTGGGTACCCGTAGACCGGATATAGAGGGTATTGGGGTACGCTGGTACGAGGATCTACGTAGTACGACATCAAGGAAACAAGAGACAAAGATTATACTGGTTCAGGCCCCTTAACAGGTAATAGCCCTAATCCAGTTGATATGGGATTATATGGAAATAACCACAGATTACAAAGGGAATAATAGAACTCGGTGGTACCGACGAGATCGTAGTCGAGTTGATTCGACTAGATCACCCGGCGACTTGGCTCCTGTAGTTTTCGGCTTCGTAGGCTGTGGTCGTTGTGTAGGTTATGAGATTTGATCCCTTAGGTCCCCCAAGGGGTCCCTTTTATATCGCAGGTCAGGCGGTCTCCAAGTAGGACTTGGAGACATCGGACCCTACACGATATAATAACGACACAGTCCTATACGGGTAGGAATCTTTCCATTGGCGGACTTCGTGATGGATTTCCTTAGCGTGTTCAGAGAACGTCTGTATATGCACCGCTATACCGTATTTCCGTATAGCATACATCCAAGGGTAGAGGGTATACCTTATCCGTAACCCTGACAGTAGCCCCCGACTTCTACTTAAATGAACTCGTGTAACCAATCGCGACTTCTGATGTCGGAGTTGTTGTCGTTCTCGACTGGTCGATCTCGGTGTAGGGACCGTAGAGACAAAGAGTGATCGACAACACCATGCGAAGTCTAACGGTTATGAGTGAATTTAAATTGAAGTCCAAGGAACCGCTTCGCGCAACGGACCCAGAAATTTCCGGCGTCCATCTCTCTCCTTTCCTTGGGATTCGCACCGTCAGTAGTGCGCCTATTTAAGGGAGTTTTGGGAATCCATTTTGGAGTCCGGCAGTTGTGAGAAACTTTCAAGCCTTCCAGAGCTCTTTGTCTTCTCCGCTTCCGCACAAACCCTAGCTTGTTCATCTCGGCCCCTTCTCCGGCGATCTTCGACCGGAATGGACCTCGACAAGTCCACTTCTACCAGCGTGTCGCTGGAGAAGTTGCAGGAGGAAGGCGCTCTCCCTGGTCGCGGGACCATGGAGAGGGAACCAGGAGGTACTGAACCTGAACCTGTCCTGGGTCGCATGGTTGCGGTCGAGGATTACATTCTTTGTGGTTTTGTTCCTCCTCCATCCGAGTTTCTTCTTTTAGTCTTGAATTTCTACGGTCTCTCTTTGCTCCATTTGAATCCCAATTCTATCGCCTTCCTCAGTATCTTTTCCCATATTTGTGAGGCCTACATTGGGGTAGAGCTGTTTCTTGACCTCTTCCGCTTCTACTATGAGTTGCGTTGGATGGAATCCAACAGGGTATCTGGATGTGTTGGGTTCCGACTTCGGGATGGCCTGAAGTCTCGCTATATCCCCTTCCAGTGCCCCTCTTCTCGTAGTAAATGACGGGCGAGGTGGTTCTATCTTCAGATAGAAAACTCGGACCCAGTCTTTGTTGTTCTTGAGGAACAACCAGACAAGATTTCGTCTTGGACCGTCAAACCCGCCTTAACCCCCTCCCTTCAATCCTTCATCGATATCGTCGATGACCTCCGAGTGCGAGAGTTGTCGGGATATGAAGTCGCTGCCGACTTCATTGGTAAACGGATCCAGCCGCTCCAGGCTCGAGCCCATCCAGCCTTTGACTACTCAGGGCCCAAAGACGCGACCCGGGTTTCTCCTTGGGGTATTTTTCTTGTATTCTGGGTTCCATTCCTTAAGTGCATGTTCCTCCCGACTTATCGATTTTGGTTCTCGATCTGCAGGTCTGAACAGCGAGACCGTAGGGCGCCGCATCGGTCAAGTGATGATCAGCGGCCCTACAACAGCGAGCAATGTCCCTGTTCCTCTCTGCGAGAATTGGGCAGCCGAACGTGAAGCTGCAATCAATGTAAGTGTACTCGGCAGCCCTTTTGCCTTTTTAACCCGTGGGTTGAAAATACCCGTAGGCCTAGCCCAATATGCAGATGGCCCAAGGCCCATAACCATCAAAACCCTAGGTATAAATCCTCTTTTCCTCACTCCTCTAAATCCTATTCCCCTTCTCCTCCTATCCTCTCCCTCCTGTCTCCGTTTCTCCGCCGTCCCTCATCCCCCAAGCGCCCAAGCCACGGCCGCACCGCACGGGCGCACGCCACACGCCGGCACGCCACCGCGCAGGCGCGCACGGCCGCAGCACCAGCCGCCAGCCGGTCTCGGTCTCGCCGATGGAGTAGGGCGCCGCCGTGCGGGCAGCCGCCAGCGTGGGGGCAGACATCCACCGCGTCGGTCGCCGCCTGGGGCAGGGTCCAGGGAGCCAGGGACGCTGCTTCCTAGGGGCGGGATAGCCACCGCATCGATCGCTGCTTGGGGGCAGTGTCACACCCTGAAGTTCTTTTCCCAAGCCTAAATTGAATTTTTAATTGGCCTCAAGAAAATATCGGTGTAAAAGCAAGAGAGAAACCCTAAATAAATTAATGCGAATAATAATCGGAATTGGCATATGGAATTTTTCTTGAGTTCTACATGTCGAAATGTGCTAACAAGATTTTTAGTGGAATTTTCAGAGCTCTAGAAATAATTTTAACCAATTAAAATCGAGCACAAGCAATATTTAATCCGAGGAAATTCATTTCCTTCTTTTTATTTTCTTTTCCCTCCTTTTTCTTTTTCGAATGGGCCGCCGGCCCATTCTCTTCCTCTCCCCCTCCGCGCTGGGCCAGCCGAAGGCTACGGCCCAGCCGAGACGGCCGCCTCCCTCCTCTCTTCAGGTCGCCGACAGGTGGGGCCCACCTGTCGGGCCCGTCTCCCACCTCCAGCCGGCGCCGCTGCATCCCGCAACCGCCACCCCGCTCGCTCCCGCGTCTCTCGGGCCACGTCGCCCACGTCGCTGCCTGCGCCCGCCTTCCCCGCGCCCACTCCCTCTCTTCTGCCCGCGTCCGCGCACGAGACGGCCGGGATTCAATTTTTGAATCCCGCCTCTCTCTCCTCCCCACCTCTCTCCACTCCGCCGGCGAAATCGCGGCCACCCCGGCCACGATCAACCCTCGTGAGCCTATATAAAGCACCCCCGTTCCCTCCTCTCTCTTTTTCGTTTTGCAATCGCCCGCTCCCGTGCACTCCACCGCCCTAGCACCGTCCCCCTCCTTTCCACCGCCGCCGCCACCGCTCCGGCCGCCGCTAGCCGTCGCTAGCCGCTGCGCCAAGTCACGCCGTCGACGTCGTCGCGTTCGCCGTCGTGCGGGCCACCCCATCCACCCCCCTCCCGTTGGATTCCGCCGCCGGAACCCACTCCGCACCGTGTGCCGGTGAGTTCGGCCGTGGCCGCCGCCTTCGGCCGGTGTTCCCGCCATCGGTGATCTTTCTCTTCCCCTCTAACTTCTCCCATTTTGTTTCTTAGGTCGTCCCGGACCCCGTCCGCCGCTTGTCGACTTCCCTCTGTCGAGTCTCGCCGCCGTTCACCGTCGTCTCCCTCCACGCCGGTCGGACCTCTTCGGTGAGGACACCCCCTCCTTCTTCCCCCTCTCTTTTCCTCCGGTAGCGCCGCCGCCTAGTCGTCGCATCGCGCCGCCGCCGCTCGTCGCGCCGCCGCCACTCGCCGCCGTCTGCCGCCGCCGCCCCGCGGTAGCGCCGCCGTACGCCATTGCTGCCGGGCCGGCTTGAGCTGCCCGTGCGCGCCAGTCGCGCGCTCCCCGCCGCCGTCCGATCTACCCTCGGGTAGATCTCGGGGCCATCGGTTCAGCTGCCCGCGTGGCTGCCACGTGGCTGCCACGTGTGTGCCACGTCGCGCCACGTCAGCGCCACGTGGTGCACTGCTCCCTCCCCGGTCCGTGGACCTGGTTCATCGTGGACCGCCACCCGAGTCACTGCCATGTGGGGCCCGCATGTCGACGCCGCCCCTCTCTCTCCCCGGGATTTTATTTATTGCGCAATAAATCAATTAAGGATTTTTCTGTTTATAGTAAAAACACAGTGAATCTTCTAAAATTCATAGAAAATTCATCTGAGCTCCGTTTAAGCCCATTCAAGTCTCAGTAAATCAAGAAAAATGCATAGAATCCATTAAAAATGGTTTTGTTCTCTGTTTCAGTAGTCTTTTGGCCTGTTTGTATTGTTTGCTTTGTATGTCGCTTAGATTCCGGCTCTCCCGGTGCTCCGGTGTACTTTGAAATAGTCGCCGAGGTTCCTCCAGCAGCAGAGCAATGCAAGTCATACTTATCACTTGAACATGTTGATCCTATATTGCAAATGCTCTATTGTTTTCCCTTAAATACTGCATTGTTTTATAATGTTACTATGGGATGTATATCTACTGTACAACCATGCTATTTTTGTACTATGCTCCTTTGTTAGCTTGGGATATAACATGACTAGATATTGCACTAGGGATTGCTTAGCCATGTTTAGTTCAACTAGCACACAATGGGAGAATCACATTAATGCATAGACTTCAGGTTCTAGTGTTGGTGTTGGATTAAAGCCTCCGTCCTGGTGTTAGTCAATTAAAATGCATTAAATGGTGGGCTATGGGTGCATGGTTTTGATGGTCGCGTCCATGGCACTTAAGGACCGGTTCGCAGGATGCCCTGGAAGAACTTATCGTACTTACCACAAGCCAGCGTGGGCAACGGCTGGGCTTGTAGTGTAGCTTTCCTCTAGTTGACGCATCGAGGCAAGGGTGGGCG